CCCGTGCGGAGCACAGGCTCCGGACGCGCACGCTCAGCGGCCATGGCTCACGGGCCCAGCCGCTCCGCGGCATGTGGGATCTTCCCGGACCGGGGCACGAACCTGTGTCCCCTGCATTGGCAGGCGGACTCTCAACCACTGTGCCACCAGGGAAGCCCGATGAACATTTTTAAACTAAAATAACAATATAATCCATAATCTACTAAGAGTTCTGACTATTAATACGTCAATTATATTTTCCCCTTACATTTTAAATATGATTGATGATCATTTTTTAAAATTAATTAATTAATTAATTTTTGGCTGCATTGGGTCTCTGTTGCTGCGCACGGGCTTTCTCTAGTTGCTGCGAGCGGGGGTTACTCTTCATTGCGTGCGTGGGCTTCTCATTGCAGTGGTTTCTCTTGTTGAGGAGCATGGGCTCTAGGCGGGGGGGCTTCAGTAGTTGTGGCACATGGGCTCAGTCGTTGTGGCTCACAGGCTCTAGAGCGCGTGGGCTCAGTAGTTGTGGCGCACGGGCTTAGTTGCTCGGCGGCATGTGGGATCTTCCCAGACCAGGGCTCGAACTCGTGTCCCCTGCATTGGCAGGAGGATTCTTAACCACTGTGCCACCAGGGAAATCCCTGATGATCATTCTTTAATACACTCAAACTCGGTTCTCAAACTTGGTTACATATTGTAATCACCTAGGATTGATTTTAAAATGCCCAATTCCCAGGCTATATCTCAGATTAATTAAGTTGGGAACTCTAAGGGGGGGCACCGAGGTATCACCATTTTTTAAAATTCCCAGGTGCTTCCAATATGCAACCACGTTTGAGAACCAGGTTATAATAACAATTAAAATTGTAAAATAATGTTTTGGGAGATCATAGATCAAAAAAGCTAAACTAACACAATCTCTAACATTGTTATCAACTATATTAATTCACCTTCCTCAAAAAATGAGTAGAGAAAAATCTAAGAAATTTCAAAAAACAAAAAACTCTCATCATAGAACATCAGCCTCAGTTACTTAAATTCCTTGTAGCTGATAATTCAGAGAAACACGCAGAAATCCTTAAACACACACATTAAAAGAGTAACCTGAGCTACCAGCCAAAATGCGTTCATAATCATAGACACACATTCATTGTTGTTTCCATACACACATCAGGAAGCACCAATCAGGAATGTAAAGAGCCACACTCATAGGGCTTCCCTGGTGGCGCAGTGGTTGAGCATCCGCCTGCTGATGCCAGGGACGCAGGTTCGTGCCCCATTCCGGGGGGATCCCATATGCTGCGGAGTGGCTAGGCCCGTGAGCCATGGCCGCTAAGCCTGCGCATCTGGAGCCTGTGCTCCACAGTGGGAGAATCCACAGCAGTGAGAGGCCTGCGTACCACAAAAAACAAACAAACAAACAAACAAAAAAACGAACCACACTCATAAATCAACTGATTACAGTCCTTTTTCCAAAGCTAATTCCAAGAGGCTTCTTCCTTGATCTAAGTCATTAGTAAATGAAAACTGTTTGCATTTCACAAGCATGTTTAAACATCACAGGTTTTGTATTCCATAATAGAAGAAAATGTGATTGATTACTCATGGGGTCACATGACTAATCAAGAGAGGATTTTAATCACTGTGAATAAGAAAATAATAGAATTAACATAAAATTAATGAACTTAATTGTACTTTCTAGTTATAAAAACTGAGTTATAATAAATATTTGTATTTCTTACTTTTATCAGAGTATAATTAACCCATTCTCTTTTACCTTCCTCAGTTTTCTATTCCTCCATGGAAAATTATGCTTTGACCCTGATCTTACCTATTTTTAGTCCCAACTACACAGTAAACTGGCAAGGCTAAATATTTTCAGTATTTCCTTTACTAGAATTTGATTGAAATAAGAAATACATATCAAAATATTTATTTTTGTAACAATTATATTTGCACTCAAAGCAATTTGACAAGATTTTTCTTAATATTTCAAGAATAACTATTCTGACCCAGGCATAATTCAGAAGAAAACATGTCTACTTACTGGTATCATCCAGTTAGCCAAGTCACCATATTTGGAAACCTGCATGGCTCCTAGCATTGTTAGATTGACATGTCCCCTGAGAAAGATAAAGAAGAAATATAAAGCCAACTTCACAAGCTTTATGTCCCTTCTGCTTGAAATTGTCAGCAATGAAAATGGATAATTCTAACCTCCCCTGCACCAAAGTACATTTGCTTTCCTCCACTCAACACCTGCTTTCCAAATAGACTGGCTCAAGCTAGTGTAGAGAAATAACGATTGAGAGTTCTTTTAAAAAAATTATAGCCTATACTGTCTCCAAAAACAAATTAAAAACAGGTGTACACAGTGAGTTTGTTTCCTTCAGGGAGTGAGAATATGGCTAGATTTGAAAGCAAACACTAGCTAGAAAATGAAAACACAGTTTGTAGAAAATGTTAGGATCCTCAGAAAGAGCCTTCAAAGTGTTTACTTCAGTTTAGTTGGCACAGATATATATTCCATTTTGAGGGTTCCTTTGATAATAGCGGGCTGGAAGTCCCAACTGCCAACATTCAATGTGAATAATTTCACATCTTGGTGCAGCCAAACAAGCCCATGATCATTTTCTGGCTGGGAGAGGTGTCTATGTTTCAGAGTCTTGCTAACAGACTCAGGGGATGACTCAGCTCATTAAACGTCATGTGAAACATGAGGGGCTCCGTTATTACATACCCTCTAATCATCGCAAATGATTCATCGCTGGAGAAATAAGAGGCTCCTGGAAGAACAGTAACTGTTTCCTTGCCTACACAGACACACACACACAAACACACACACACACGGGAGAAAAAGAGGAAAGAAAAGGCTATTAGATTTCTAAGAGTGGAAATCATGGTGGAGACACAGGTCTATACCTTCTCTGTTTCCTACAGAACTAAGGGTCCCTTAACCAAAATGTGGCAGCAACAGGGGTATGGGAGACACAGTGGGAACTGTTTACCTATGAAGAAAAGCATTTTGTCACTAACATTGTTCAGATTTGCCCTTGCATGTTGATAATAAAAAGCAGCCCAATGTTTAATTTTATTATTGTTTTGAAATTCTCTACAGACAATGCACCCCTCTACTATTATTACATAACCATCCTCGCCTCCCACCAGACTCAGTCCCTTCACAAGCCCCTGTTAGATGCTAATAGGAATGAGGAGGAAAGGAGTTGCTGGGATGCACCTGTCAAAACCCATGCTACTGTAAGTCACTAGAGCAAAGCTACTGTGGAACAGACATGAAGGAATACAACTTGAAGGGAGTGACACAGGAGATGCTCCTCAGATATTTCTTAAAATTCAGTAAATAACCTAGAAAGAAAGGTCCCACCTAATTCCTTAACATCACTGGGACTGAATCTCTTCTTCCATCTCTCTCTCTCTCCTTCATTTTTCTTCCCTTGCTCCTATGTTTCTACTAAAACCAAAGAAGGTCCTCTTGGAAGGACCTCTCACAAAACTTACATCTCATAATAAAAGTCCAGAACTGGAAAAGTTCTTCAAGGTCATACAGTCCCCACACAACCCATAATATCACCTGACTCAAACTTGAGCTGCTTTTTTCTTGTGACCTGTCTGTGCAGGAGCTTTAGGTGCCTAGGAGAAGCTTCTGGTCTCAGTAGAAAAGTGCTCACATGCCACTTTGCCAAAGGTAAGTCAACTGTCTGATAACACCTCATGCCATGGCCCCAGTGTGATAGGGCAGACAAAAAGAAGGGGAAGAAAAGTGATTCCAAGATTAGAACAGAGAGAAGCTCTTGGACACAACAGGACCAGACCGATCTGATCGTGCTCAGCTGTGCAACAACAGCTATAACCTCAACTTCTCAAGTCTTCCCTGAGAGTTAACTTCTCCACCAATATCCCGCTCCATTTGAGCTCAACTGTAAAGCAAAGGTAAGACTATTTATATCATGCTGAATTATTTATCGGCCAAAAAGTTTGATTCTAAACAAAGGAAACATTTTCACATCTTTTAAAGGACCACAAAGCTGAAAAGCTTTGGAAAATACTTTCTGGTGCGGTTAGTAGGGGCTGGCTTTTAGACAGCACATAATATTTGAAGAATTAAATGAAATGGTGCATGTGAAGTCTTTAACTCTAGTACCTGGCATAGAGAAAGGACTCTGTAAACATTACTTTTATTATTGTCATTGTTATTATTCCTCACTGCAAACCTGCTTGTGGAAAAGACAGTGCCATTACCCCTTTAGGGATAAATGCTACAGGGGCAAGCAATTCACTTTTATGGTGGGGTTATACACCAGCCCGTGAACTCCAGGTTTCAGGACAAGTGTAATACAACTAAACCTTATCCTAACACAACTTTCACGCCCAGCAAATACAGTTCCTCGCCAATCCTGTGAGGTGGAGAGGCAAGGAAGAACTTGCAGGCTGAAAATGCAGAGAAACAAAAAAATCTCAATTCTTTGTTCTCTATGTGATAAATCACAATGACTTCCAAAAGGCCATCTCAATCAGCTGGTAGTACATAGAAGGCATTATTTACCACTTTATAGGAAACTGAGATCAATGCAGAGAGCTTCAGCTCTCCCCCTGTGATTCATGAAGGATGGCTTTATTAAAGAGCCCAGAAAATAATTCTTATGAAATAAAGTTATTGTCAGGCCCCTGCTAACACATTCTGGCATCTTATAAATACATTCTTTGGAAGCAAAGTTAATTTTCATAATTTTTAATATACAAAATCTAAACAAAAAAAGGTATCCTGAAGTTGAATCCATGCTTTTCAAATGCAATGTCCAAATTTAGTCAAGAAACAATTATAATCAATAATACAACCAATATCTTAAAGAAAAGCGTCTTTCTTATTTGATTTTTCCTAATTGATTCCTGTCTCCTCCAAATTTGCTCTGTGTATGTCTATATCCTCTAATGATATTCAGGCAATAGAGTTATTCAGTTTCATAGTTTTGAGTCCTTTGACTCATGATGTAACATGTCATTCACTCAATATCAAGTAAATGTCTACTCTGTGCCTTGAACAATGTTACACACAAAATGCAGATGCCCTAAACGAATGGTTCTCAAACTTTAACACCCATCAGAATCACATGGAGGGCTTATAAAAATGCAGACTGCTGAGCTCAACTTCCTAGAGTCTGAGAATTTCCATCGCTGACAAGTCCCCAGTGATGGGGATGCTAATGCTGTGGCTCTGGGGACCACACTTTGAGAAACACTGCCCCAAGAAAAAGGAACATAATACCCAGCAAGAGAGATGAATATACACAAATAATTACAAGGCAAAATGTGGTATGCTTATGAGACACTAGATGTGTTGTGGGTTCGAAGGAGGAGCACTTCTGAGCCACAGAAGGATCTGGAGAGGACAAATGAACTGGGATTTCAAGCATAGGTATAATGCATTTCAATAGGACATTACCAATAAAGAGATGGGGATAAAAAAGGAAGGGATAGAACAAAACAAAAAATGAAAGGCACAGCAAGAGCAAAGTCATGGAGGAAGGAAAGCACGAGTCATGGTCAGAAAAGATCCAGCAGTTCAGTATGGGTGGACTCAGAAGACCTTGTAGGGCACAGAGAAAGATAAATTTGAAAAGGTCAGTCACAACCATTAGATAGATCTTGAATGCCATACTATTTGAACTTTAATGTTCAGGCCTGTGATTCTTCAGATGTGGCACACAGACCTCTAGAGCAGGCACTACTGATGCTGGGAGCTGGATAACTGTTCTGGTTATTGTAGGATATTTAACAGCATCCCTGGCCTCTACCCACTAAATGCCAGTAACACTGGCAATCAAAAATATCTCCAGACATTGTCAAATGTCCCCAGGGGAGAGGAATCACTCCTCTTTCCCACGGAAAACCACTGCTCTAGAGGTACATGGCAGGAACCACGGATATTCAAAAGCTGTGAGATTAACACGGTGGTTCTTTCTAAGTAGTTTTAATCAAAAGGAAGTCATTTAAAACATTATTTTGATATTAAAGTAAGAAAATAATATTAAGAAACAGGAAAGAATGCAAAATGCACATTAATATGAAAGCTAATGTGAGATTTATGAGAAATTTCACAATTCCATTGGGATACTGCAAATCTTCCTGGGACCTTGGAAATGTTCTAAGCACTGCCTTATGCACCTCTGTAAAACTCAGGTTATCAGTGGATATAGCTCAACGTGCAGAGAAGGCCAGGGGCCAGGAGCAGGAGACCCTGTGTTAGTCCAGTCCCTAGCAACGTAATCTTGAGAACATCACGTCACTTTTCTGGGCTTGATTTCCCAATCTGTACAAGTTTTCACTTGAGGTTCAAATGATTTAATGTATTTGAAAAAAGTATGCTGTAAGCTATGTAGTACTATGCAAGTGGTCATTCATTGTTATATAACCATATGAAATTATTATTTAGAAAAAGGTAACCTTAGAAATAGCTGTATTATTATTTTAAAATTTTAATACACTGATTATGCCCAGAAACATAACTCTTTATATTCCTTCCAAGGGATTTCTATAGAAATCATTTCAAATTAACACAAACAATGGGCTGATCTTCCTGGTAATTTCCAAACTTGCGGAATTGCAGAACCACCAATTTATATTCTGGGTTCTCAAGTTCAAAGTATTTCCTCCCTAACTTAGTTCCAAAGTCAAAAGCATCATAAATTCCAAACAGGACTTTGATGAAAGAGATAGGATATTATTAAACTATTCTGCAGCCTGGCTTCCCCAAAGCAATAAATTCTTGTTTTACAAAGTAGTTTAAGATTATACGTGATATCTCAGAAGCTGACATCTAAAACTGGTGGCTTCATCAGGATCAAGCTAAAGCTCAATGGAATCAGAAACGCCTACTGTCCAATGATGTCATTGAAAAGATTAACTAGTTTTCCAAAGAAACTGGGTTTTATGAGCTCAAGCCTGATATTTGGAAAATGGAGTTATTCATTTTGCAAATAACTCACTAACATTAATTAATTAAACCAAGCAGCAAATATTTTCACAGATCAACGAGCTATTGCTAAAGGGTACAGTACAATTAAATTACAGCCTTGGTTAAATGTCATTGCTTTACCACAGTGGGCCTTTCAGAGTTGAGTCGTGTTAACTAACTCAACTATTCAACCAGAAGCTGTTTTACTTTCAAAAATCCTAAGCATCAAACATCCATTCTACTTGGCAGCTGGCCTTTATGTTTCAGCTCTTACTTCTTCTCTTCTGAAAGTTACACACACTGTTTTTGAACATGAAGTAACAATAATACTTTTGTGGGGGTAGAGTGAATAGGAGTAGAAGAACAGTAAAGAAAAACATGCTAGAATATAAAAATTAGCTTCTTATGGACAGCCCCATTCTAAGGATAATCTTTAGCCCTAACATGGTGGCAGTGCTGCCTCAAGCATGGGCAAAAGGTCTGACCTGTTTTTCCTCCTCTAGGCTGCTGCTACATGTGACCCTATGTCCCAGTCAAATAAAAGGCTAATAATAAAAGGCAAAGCATATGAATGCTAATAATAAAAGGCAAAGCAGGAATAAAGGAGAAGACAGGCTAGAGTCCCCAGTACAAAGAAACTCTGTATTTATTACTTACATCACTGGGTTGCACTGAGTGGCAGAGTACATCCTTAAGCACCCCTGAACCTTTGAAGGATGCTCTCCTAACTCTGATGTCGATTAGAGGAGAGTAATTATCAACCACAACAAAAACCTCAGTGCACCAGATCCTGGTTTTGGCCACTATGGATCCACTCCCCACCTTCTCATCAAGAGAAAGCAGACCTATTTCAACCTGGGATCGGCCAATGGGAGGCACAAGCAGGAGACCCAGCAGAGAAGACCTCTATTCTCACCCCCACCCAGATTTCTGCAACATGGTCATGTTCCTCTACAAATACCCTGCTTCCTGTTAGGTGGCCCTCTCCCACAGCTGCCCCTTAAGGCCTAGGAGTGATAAGAACTCCCTGTGGTGCTTCAGCATCCTTTCTGGTTTCCCTTAATCTTGTCTGCACCCTTGTAAACTGTCCCTTCCTTTAATTCTCCTCGTTACCCCACCTGAGAGTGTTCTCAGGACGCTGACTGATTGACCCACCAAAGCTCCTACCATTATATGTAGCCCCTCCTGCGATTTCTCCTTTATCTTACTCTGCCTTAAATAGGGGAGACCTCTGACAGGCAATCCGGACCAAGAGGGCACTAGGAAGGCTTCTCTCTCGCTTCCTCCATGAAAAATACAGTGTCTTACTCTCCAGGAAAAGACAAAAGAAACAAGCCCAACTCGTTGCTATTACTTGGCAGAGAACTAAATTAATAGCAAAGGAGAAGGCTGGAAAAACATGTAATGAGTGAGTTTACCTGCATTGATTAGATCTGCATCAACTTCATTTTCTAACGGGTAAGGACCCTGTCAAATAAAGCACATGTTCAATTAGGAAAAGAAGTTTCTCACTGAATCACACACTAAAACTGAAATATAAGTAACTTTGCTTAAAACCCTAGGAAATCATGAAAACCCTAGGAAATCATCAAAAGACTTGAGGTGAATCTTTTCAAAATAACCCCAGTGTTTTCATGGCTCTGTTTTCCACGTTGATTTGTCTTTTCTATGCTAAAAACTGTGCTTGGGTAAGTGAAAAATATTTTCTAAAAACTACCAAATTCTGAAAGAAATGTTAAGCTGTTGGAAACACAGGTCAATAAAAACGTAATTATTTAGTACCTACTATGCAGCCGATGTTATTCAGAAATCTTCCTGGTAGTATATCAATGAATACAAACTAAATGGCTGCCTTATTTGGCTAGAAGGGTCTGGAAAAGCAGTTTCAGCTTTTTGGTATGTAGCACCTAAAGTTCTAACCTTATCTCTCAGTCCATCTAAGTTTTGATACCTTTATTTTCTTTTTGCCTGGTAATTCTCACTAAGTTTTTGTTTTTTAATTTTCTATGTATTCTTAGAAACCATCTCTAATTACTTGGAGTGAGTAGTTTCATAACAAAACATTTATTAAACGAAAAGGGAGGAAATGGAGAAAGGTAAAAGAAAAGGTCTAAATTAGAGCCAAGAATGAGGAAATATTGGCTGTGAAATTTTAACATACTTCCAAAAAAAGGGACCAAAAATTTATTCTTTGAATAAATTGAAACGGCAACTAATGTTTTAGACCTGTGTAAATTTTTCTTTAAACAGTGACCAGGGGTAATTCATATTGACTTATTTCCCTTGTCTTCAAAATGAGGGAACTGGTCACTCTAGATAATCTCTAAGGTACCTTAAAAATTTAAGTCTTTGACTGCAATATGAATCTGCTTTTATCCAGACTCACATCATTTTTGTGTTTCTGAAAGTGAACACAATTATTGCCTCTATCAGTATCAACTACACTCTCATGACCATTATTTATATTTTAAATACTGGATATACATGTTCCATATGTACAATTTGTACTGCATTAACAGTTAAGAGCTACTGAAAAACAATCAAAGATTAGGAATATTATAAATTGTCAGACTATAAGTAATCTCTGCCATAATTAATAAGTAAATAAAAAATGTTACCCAGGAAGCTTAAGTATTTCTTAATTTTATTATAATATTGAGTAAAGAGAATGGCCAAATTCTATGAGAATACTGAGCCCATCTGGAAGGTTAATCTTGAGGAAGGGAAAATTCTACCCTTTTGAACAACTTGGCCTCAAAACGAGTATTACATGAGGAGAAGTTCTTGAATTAATCAACTGTCAAAAAATGTCCTGTCCTAAAGTAGAAATGTTACTCTTCAGTTTCTCGTGCTGAGACTTACTGATTTTTATTTAATGTAGAACTGTTAATGACCTTCATTATCTTGTTCAATCACACAAAGGTTAAAAATAACTACCTAAACAGGATGGTGTGAGATCTCTGAAGCAGATGCGGTAGGGGAGATGGAAGCTGATACAGGGACAAAGGAGGAGCAGTCGGAAAGCTCATAGTCAGGAAACTACCACCTAGTCCAAAAAATACAACATGACGTGCTCACAAGTACCACCATTTTATGGGAAAAGTTAAATATTTTATGATGAGGATAAAAAGAAAGAAAAACAAGATTGGGAACTTTAAGGTAACAACTCTCAGTCATAAGAAGATTTCACTATATAAAATATCTCATTCTCCATCAAGATTGAATAAATAAAACTTTAATTTCTATCTTACCAAACCCAGGACTCCATTTTCACTTTGCAGGTGGACAGTCATACTGGGGCTGATAAAGTTGCTGGCCAGAAGCGGTATTCCTATGCCCAAATTAGCTGGAAAAAAAGACGTTAAGGTCCAGCATATAAAAGATAGGTTATGTCATAAATCTACATGAATAAATCTGAACATAGGCCTTCTTTAAAGGTACTTACTCTGAATGTAATCACTGAATACATTCTCCCACCACCCTCTAGGTATTATTTTGTAATTTTTTCAAAAAGAAAATCTCTTAATCACAGCTTTCCCCATAAAGATATCAAAGTAGTGGCTTCAGAAAACTAGCCAAGAGGTCCTTTTAATTGTAAGACATAGTTAGCAAATTTGGACTGTATTATGATTTATTATGACTGATGTCTGATATAACATGGCCTGACCTTTGTTTAAAAGCATTTTTCACTATCCAAAACTGCAACTGAAAATAAAGATGATTGAAATATTCTAAAACGGGCTACCACTTTTGAATTTTAAAAAAAGTTTTATGACAACAGCAAAATGTCTGCCTAAATTGTATAGATTCCTTTGGATCACTGTGATAGCATCCATTGGTAACTGAACCTTCCTTAAGACATAAATAGGATGGTGGGGATATTTAAGGTTCAGTGAACACATTTGAGACCATATTAAAAAAAAAAAAGCTGTGTTACAGCATCAAAGAGCTAACTGGCTGGGATTAGCAGATGCAAACTATTATATATAGAAGGGATAAACAACAAGGTCCTACCATATAGCACAGGGAACTATATTCAATATCCTGTGACAAACAATGAAAAAGAATCTGAAAAAGAATCTATGTATGCATAACTGAGTCACTTTGCTGTACAGCAGAAGTTAAACACAACATTGTAAATCAACTACACTTCAATAAAATTTTTTCTTAAAGGAGAGCTAACTGAGGGTATTAAATCTTCTTCCTTAGGTGATCAAAGTTCTGACTTGAAAGCAGTTGTGTGGATTCGACCTTGCCTCTCAATACAAGCAGGCTAACCAGATCAGCCTGCTGGGAATTCCCTGGTGGTCCAGTGGTTAGGACTTGGCACTTTCACTGCTGTGCGCCTGGGTTTGATCCCTGGTTGGGGAACTAAGATCCTGTAAGCTGTGCACTGTGGCCAAAAAAAAAAACAAAAACTGACGCTGTCTAAACTGCTGTCCACCACCACTGCAAACCACAGACTTTGACAGAATTAGTGCAAAGAATGATGGCACTCTGATGAGATTCTAATAACAGTGAGTGCTTTGTGAATGAAGTCCAGAAAAGATAAAGTTTGTATATGCTGCCGTATTATAGACTACAAAGGCCAGCAGGACAACTCAACATGCCAGGTCACCTCTTGTGAATACAGTAAGTCTATGAAGCTATGATGATAGCTTCTTGGTTCACCTCTTACCAAATCACCATCTAGTGTAGACTTATTTGTACTTCATTTCTCACAGTGATGCATGGAACATACTGAGGTATTAATTCCATTATAATTATAAGCAGGCATTTTCAGGTAAGGGCAACCCAAATTACAAGTTTTATACCCCCCCCCTTTCATCATATGCTATAATTTTCTCAGTTCTTTAGTATTTTTTAGTGAGTCAAATACCAGGGAGAAAAAAGCCTATGTAATTTGGGTTGAAAAAGAGTAGGTGCTATGTATGGAAAGACCATTTATATGAACTGACTTGCAAATATTTTTCATAGGCAATACAATGACAGTGAATAAAGGATACCTAGAAGCCATTATATCTAAAAATCAGCATTATCATAGAGTCAGTGTTAAAATATCAATGGTAAACCAATTGACTGGAGGTAAGAAGAAAACCCAGAGACTAGCTTTCACCTGTTCAGTTCACTTGGTTGACTCTATATCTTGCTGATACTGGAGGTGGGAGAGGAAGCACTATTATACTCTCTTCCCCTATGTGAATTCCCACCATAACCCAATGTGTAAACTGAAAGATAAAGAAAAATGAAGTGGTGGAGGTAAAAAGAAAGTAAAAAAACAGTTCTGTCAATATCAGTCTGAAAGAAGATTTTTTATGGACTAGGGGAAGCTGAGAGAATGGAGACACATGTCATGTTTCTACTACTTCCTGTCCCAGGCCTTTAAGTATGGCTTTACTGGATTCACCATTCAACAGATATTTATCTTATCATACACTATTTGAATTTATACGTATTATTTGTGTTATATAGTTCAACAGCTGATGTCTTGAAAATCAGCAAAATGGCGAATAGACTCACTGTTATTTAAACACATTCAAAATCCAAACACTAATTGCACTAAACCATCTTCACCTACCTCTTTTTTGACCAAGTATTCAATATCTACAGCAGAATTTGAATCATTCATTGAATACCCTTACAAAACATCAGACATAAAAGGGTACATTCACAGAATCTTTGTCAGGGGAAACAAGAGGTTGTTAAGAAGTTGGATCTTACGTTTCAATGAGTATGTAAATGTCAGAACACAGAGAAAGTAAATAGCACTGGTTATAAGTAGTACTTCTGAGATCTGAAACCCTCACCTTGGGCAATCTCTTCTCCCAATTACCCTTAGCCACATGCCAAATTATACTGAAATTCCTTATATATTAGAGAACAGCTAAGGAAATTTTCAGTCACCATTTTGTTTCAAGAAGGCAAAAGGATTATAATTCTAATTTCATTTATCTTGATATCTTTAGGTTATATGCCACATTTGTAAAAATTGATCAATTGCTTTAGACGTTACAATGGACTAGAAAGGAATCACTATGCAGGAGGCCTAGTAACCTGATGAATATGTAAAAAGTGAGGGCTACGCCTTTGCCCAGCCCACGGGGCAAGGAATAAAGGATACCATACATGCCATCCTCAAATTCAAGAGCTGCACGCTTGATGATACGTTCCCTTACATTATCTCCAGGTTTACCAGATGTGGTTTTTACATCTTCCTCTTTCCGGATTGATAAACGCTTTAAAATAAACAGAAATAAATTATTCATGGTTGAGGTATACTTTGTATTTTAACACTACTGAAATACAAAACTCTCTCCCGTTACTGCTATAAGGCAAATCTGTAAGATAATGTAGAGAATTTTTAAATTTAAAAAGAATACTATGGATAAAATTTGATGACAGAAATAATTCTTTAAAATGTAAGTGAAAAGACGTCCCTGGTGGTCCAGTGGCTAAGACTCTGCGCTTCCAATGCTGGGGGCCCGGCTGCAATCCCTGGTCAGGGAATTAGATCCCACATGCTTCAACTAAGACCCAGTGCAGCCAAATAAGTAAATTTTAAAAATAAATAAAACAAACAAATTAATTAATTAATTAATTAAAAAGTACGTGAAAGAGGTCAGATGTTTGAAGAGGAAGATATAATTGTTCTGTCTCTTTGAAGCAAATAATTCTTCTGTTACTGTCACACTGAGTGCCACTACTGTTACTCTAAGACTCCTGCAACTAAACTCTCCTCAGGTGCTCTGGGATGGAGCCAGAATAAAGAAAAGGGAATAGACCTTGGGACTTTATTTTTCCAGGGCTGCGAGAATGTGTTTACCAGGTATTGCTGATGCCAATTGCCTATTTCCACATGCAGAGTCTAGACTGGTTTTGCTATAACTGAATCACAGGAATCATAGAAATATCCAGAAACCAGCCAGAAAACTATTTCCGTTACTAAATCTCCTTGATACAGACTCTGGTTCCTGTTTGCAAATGTCCTGTTTTTGATCCCTGGCCCCTGACATTAGTTTTAGATTGCAGAATGCCTTTGATGTCCGCGGGTAGAGGGTATCTCTGAATCCACGGTATCTCTTACTGCATGTCTATTCTGTTGCCGATCCCTAGACACTTCTGAATTTTGATATCAATTCTGGTCCAGCTGGTCTTCATGCTCTCAGTAGCCTTAGAGTACCTCCAATGCTCCCGGTACCCACTCCTTGCCATGATCTCATACCCACCAGCTTCCCAGAGCCCAACACTCATGGGAAATGATGTTCTGTCTGGACTCTATAATGTGCAAAGACTTCAAGATAGATAGACAGCTCTAAACACTCAAACACTAAGAGTCCAGCAGGGGTAAAGCCACCAAAGACCTGATTATCCTTCTCTACCCTGTATGACAGCCAGCCAAAACAATGCATCATAAATTAGGACAGTTACAAAAGCCTAGAAGACATAGCCTAGAGAAGCATGTAACTTGATGATATACACAAGGAACGGTTGAACTGGACAATTACATAGACAATCATGTCCCCTCAAGATAGACACATGAGAAGCTCCTATTAAGATTCAGAGCAAGACTTCCTGTTCAGCTCTAATTCCTTACCATCTAGAATAGCCCCAGGGACACATCTCTGACAGATCCATAAATACTGACAGACAAGCTAAGTCAATTACCTCAATTCTTTTCTCATATTTTTCTCCCTTTATAAGGCGATGTACATAAATTTTAGGAATATGAATGTCTTCTGGGGCAAATGATCCAATATCCACAATTTCTTCAACCTAGGCAAAAAGAAAAAAAATTTTAATTATATAGTGAGAGCTTAAACTGAATATTTTTTATTAAAAAAAGATGAAGTATATGCATCTTTACATCCAACTTAGGCTGGATATACAATGTAAGTATACATACACACACACATGCACGCACAAATATACATACAAATCAGACAGAGAAAGAATAAATACACAGGCAAACATACAAACTTCCAGATCCACAAAAATAGAAGAAATTCAAATACATGTGTCTGAACATAAAATACAAAACATAAAGCTCTAAAACTTTGCTTAAAACAGCCTCAGTTACAAACTTGTCCAAGGGTTTGTCAGTACAGCTGCTTGAACTTTCACAAATTGCAGCTCAACTATGCAAAATCTGAAAGCACATCCCTTAAACCCAGATTTTCAAAATTAATGGGAAATTTATCATATCAAAGACAAAAATCTGTAACAACATCTGCTTGGTCAATTGCTTTTTAAATATAGATACAAATGCTATTTGTAACCATTTTTATTTATTCCTGTAATTAGCTTCCTAGGATCGTGATAGAACTGCAATTGCTGAAATAATTTTACTTTAAGATTGATCATTAATTTCAATATGGAAATTTGAAAAAGGAATTATTAACTAATAACTGGCAATTCTAAAAATCAGAATTAAAGTTATTCACAGAGCAAAAGGGAATTTTATAGCAATACTGAATGCCCAAGTTAGTCTGTTATTTTAGAATTCATTTTTAAAGAAATCATTTTTTTACATCAACACACACAAAAAAACTCAGAATAACAAGGATCAAGAAAAACTACAGTCAACATCGTTGAGATCAAAAAATTATATTTCTGGGGACTTCCCTCGTGGTCCAGTGGTTAAGAATCTGCTTTCCAATGCAGGGGATGCAGGTTCAATCTCTATTCGGGGAACTAAGATCCCAACATGCCGTGGGGCAAGTAAGCCCGTGTGCCATAACTACTGAGCCCACGCTCTCTGGAAGCCAAACGCCACAACTAGAGAGAAGCCCACGTGCCACAACTAAGACCCAATGCAGCCTAATTAATTAATTAATTAAAAAATTTTTTTAAATTAAAAACAAAATTATCTTTCTGGTGCCAAGAAAAATACCGTCTTGAAGACTGAGAGTGCTCAGCTTAATAGATGTCATACCCAAAGCAAAGAACTATCTGCCAATGAATTGACTTGTACAAGGAGAGTTGTATTATACCGTCTCCTTAAATGAGTAACTGAACTCTCCAGAAGTTTTTGAGGTTAAGCACCCCCCTTCCTTTCTGCTATTCTACCATGTATGCCCACACCACACTCCCTCCACAATGAAAGAATAACAGGGATTAACAAGAGTCATTTTCATTATTGTGCACTACTTCTAAATAGCTGAAGAAGAATAGGACATAATGGATAAAAGCTATCTTCTCTGATAAACAGAAGGATCTTAACAAAAATGAAACAGGAACTCCAAAGAAGAGTCAATAAACATGTGGGCATCCAAGTTGAAACAGTGGGTAGAGATGTCCATCTATACTCATATGAGAATGAGTCAGAAGGCAAGGGGACTCCCCATCACTGTACTCCATATCTTCTCCTCCAAACTTCTCTATGCTCTGATATATCGAGAGCATAGCCTTCACTTTTTTACATATTCATCAGGTTACTAGGCCTCCTGTATATGGATTCTTTTCTAGCCCAATGCAACCAAGGTGGTGACCAGGTAAACAGGAGGTGGACACAGGAAATGCAGAGCAGCCGAGCACTACTGCTACCTCTTCAACTAGCTGGAAATTTCAGCCATTAGGGTTCATTCACATCTTTACATTTATTCGATTCAAGCCTTCAAAGAAGTTCTTGACTTTAAAAATTTATCCTGAGGATATATATGAAGAATGACTATTCATGAAAATATTGACCACAGCATTTGTTAAAATAACAATGAGTTGGAAACAACCTGAAGGATCAACAATAGAATAATGGTAAAATATATATGGTGCATCCACATGATAAATCAGTATTATGGCTCTCATAATATTTAATGACATCTCATAACATAATGCTTCATAAAAATGCAAGATTCTATATAAATATTTACAGATATGCTCTTCGGCTCAATTATTTCTATACCTACAAAAAACTGAGAGGAAAAACACATAGGAAATTAACACTGAAATGTTAATCATTTTTATCCCTGGGTGACAGTGCTAAGTTATTTTTGTTTAATTTTACTTTTATAATCAAGAGGTGAAAAACCTACAAAATTTTTTTAAAAGCTGAAATAGACATTAAGTAGATAGTTTCCAAAACTAGGAAATACAAAAGTGGAGGATGTGATAAATTGCTTAGTTAGCCATGTACCAAAAGGACATGTTAAAAAGAAAATAGAGACTTAAGAAAAACCATGATTTCTAAACTCTAAAAGCACTTACAACATTATGAAATAAGTTATGGAAACACTTTTTGTTTACAGTTTTGAAGATAATGCAAATTATTCTCCATACCTCATGCTATTTCAAAAGTTCAGGCCCTCCTGTCTCTTGCTTGAATTATTGCATCAGCTTCCTAATTGGTCTCCCTACATCTACCCTTCAGCAGGAGCGAGAAACATAACGGAAAAGAAAAAAAAGTAACCCTTTTCACTTAAACCAAAACTGTTGATGGTAACCAATCGCGATTTTCTTCTGGTTCCACCGAAGAAAGTTTTGACAAAAAACACCAAATTAAGACCAAGTTTCTTTACCAAGGGCAATTACATCATGACTTTCACAACAAATGGAGTGGAAGAATGTGTCCTGCTAAAACAACTCTGATGAAAAGCAAGAATCTGGTTAAACATAATCAGTTCCAAGCTTTGTCATCCTAATATGAATGATTTTCATATTGTCAAAAATGCATGGGCAGTATTTGTCAACACAATACCAACACTCAACAGTATTGAAAATTTCTATACAAAAATCAAAGCTTTCTCAGAGCTGGTTAGCAGAGGAAGAAAATATTTGAAGTACAAACCAAAAGAAGAAAACATGCTTTCAGACAATCTGTGAAAAGATTTTACAAAATAAAAAATAAAAAAATAAAAAAAAACTGAAGAGGGAGAACTATCTTAATGCTAGCTATTGAAGGAATTGAAGGCTTCTGTGCTGGTTTTGGGTGATCTTGAGAAATAACAGTGAGAAAGAACCAATGTAGTGGGGGAGAGGGGGGATCTGGTGAGATCAGGCAGTAACATGAGAGTCAAAGGAAATCTGAAAAGAAAAAGATGAATAGAACAAGTTCGTTAAGGAAGAAGTAAAAATAAAAGCTCACAAGAGCACTCACTAAGCATGGCAGAAACGTACCTCCTGAAATCAGAAGTGGGTAAGACAGAGAATAAAGAACAAAGAAAAAGCCTCAGTGCAAAGCACTGGGCATGTTTAAATGTCCTCGGACAAGGTCAAGATGTAAGAGAGGTGGTAGCTAAGAGCAACCCAGGCTTCTCCCTGGCACGATGCATAGTCCTTATGCAGCACCATCTAGTACGTCCAGAAATCCAGACACTTGATGCTTCTCTAATTAGTACTTGTCTTTGATTATTAGCAGGAAAATAGAGGCTAGGAAATGTTAATTATTATTGATTTGAACTTTGTTTTAAAAGGTTGCTTTCTCTACCCTGTACCCTTCCTACTTTATAATTCTGAAAAGTTGTATTTTAAAGTTCAGAGAAGGATAAGAATTCATCCTCAGGTGACAAGTGTTTTTGTTTTTACTTGGCTAACATTATATCTCAGGTAAGGTAACAGAGGAGCAGCAGGGCAATAACCTTCTTATTTTTTAATTTTATTTTACTGACAACCTCAGTCGAGTGTAGCCACAAAAATGGGCCCAGCCCTGAAGGTTGTTAGTGGAAAAAGCTGCACACCTGCAAACCTCGCTGTGTAATACAAAGTGAGGCCTGTGGCGCGAGGAAGGGGAGGAATCACACTGCAGATTTTTTTCCTGAGTCATTTTAATCTTCGAAAAGCCTTAGGATGAATATTCTTCTTTTGTCCAGAAATTTTCAAAGCAGACAACAGCAGCAATAAATGGCTAGAATCTTATAACACTAGGTAATCCCAAATTAGCAAAAAAAAAAACCTTGGAAGACTAGAAAAATGGAAGAGGGAAGCAATGAGCAATAACAGAAAAAGTTACAAGCTAGATGCAGAGGTGTTCTGGATACTAATTTAACCCAGAAAAATGGGGAAGAGAAAGAGGAAATGTGGAGCAAAAGGGGGGGTCAGCATGCAGGGCATCCCTCCCAAAATATCCAAAGGAGCAAGAAGGTGCACATCTTCTTAAGCTTCATGCTAAGGGGTAATTTGACTAGTACAAAAATATAGAAGAACATGGCATGAAAGCTAAAAAGGCCTGGGTCAAATACATAGGGTCTCAGATGTCTCTATAGAAAAGAACAAAGACTGAAAAGATTAGTGGCTATTAATGAATTTGCAACCTTATAAACGATTGTAACTACAATTGCATAGTCACTGAAACCTTGTAGATTGGACCTCATGCTAATGGACATTCTCCAATGTCTGGTGAAAATAAGCTGACAAAAGAACAAGCTATGTCAAGAAAATATGCACATGCCTGGGAAGCCACTGACCTATGATGAGATGTGGTAAAATATATTTAAAGTGACTTTAAAAGGAGAAAGAATATCACACTAATGGCCATATAATCAGAGTGCTCACCAAACTAAAGATGTAGATGGCTTATCTTTAACAGAAATGACGAAACTAACTCAGAAACAAGATAGTGATGTAAGATGGTGATATCATGGGAGATGCCAATTATTTGAACATCTTCTGTTCATCATATTCTGCTGATAAATTCTATATTGCCTTCTGACAAGTTCTAGTTTTCAGAATGAAACAGTGAGAGAAACCATGATTCAGGACTTCTAACCAATAAGGATAAACTGCTTGGTAAAGTAGAAATGACGGAAACCCTGAGGGAAAGTAACAATGTAAAACTGGAATTT